TGATGAGTGAAAAATAATTCCAATATTGTTTGCTTTGAAAAATTAATATATATTATATTTGACTAGGAATATTCTTATTCGATTTGGTTCGATTTTGTATTGAATTACATGTGGAAAGATTCCACTCTGAATTTATTATTGCTGTATACTAATTTTATCCAATAGAAAAACTTTATTTCCGTCTAAATATCATCTAAAATTAAACTATTAAAAAGATCTGATTAAAATTATAGATATGAAGAAATAAGAGGGGACAATATCTCTTTTTGAATATTTAATTACTCACATTCTAAAATTATATACTTTTAATGTATTATACATATACATTAATCACACATATTTGAAATACAAATCAAATATTAAACATACACATGAAGTGTATTCGATCGTATAATTTCTCCATAATCTTGGATTATTTTAATATCGACGATTTATTTTTTATTCAAAGTTTAATAAAAAAAAAAAATCATATATCAAATTTTAAAAAGTGTTTATAAAGAAGAAATTTCAATCTTTGAAATTTTCAATTTTTAAAGAAATTTCTGAATGTTAGAATCATTTAAATCCGAACAATTTTTGAAAATATTTTTATTTTTCTACTAGCTATATGATGTCGAAATATTTTTGAGAAAAATTTTTTAATGATTCTTTGTCTGAAAATAAAAGCTTTCAAAATAACCATAAAATTATTATTACTACTGTATAATTTTTTGTTACAGATATATACATATACATATAAACAACTTAAATATCGGTAATTTTGACGAAAATCAAATGCTTTTTTAATCTTATATATCAGTTTATATGCATATTGCTAGTTTATATATAAATGAAATATAAAACAATTAAAAACTAAACAAAAAGAAATTATAATTCACCTTGAAATAACTTCTGGGCTCATCCAATATGGCGTTCCAACGAGAGATTTTCGCCTGGGTAATTCTTGAGATACTTGAGCACAAAATCCAAAATCGGATAACTTGACCCTACCATCAGCCGTTAATAGTATAGAATCGGACTTAATATCTCTATGAATAACACCTTGAGAATGCAAATATGCAAGAGGCTTCAAACATTGAGAACATACTGTGGCAATCTGATTTTCGTCCATGCGAGAATGAGTCACAATATCCGTAAGCGCTCCTCCTTCAAGATATTCCATCACGACCCATAATTCGTCATCTACTAAAAAACTATCATACATTTCAACAATGTTTGGATGATGATAATCTCTCATGATAACTACTTCATTAAAAAGTAATTCACGTCTTTGCTGCTTTCTTAAATCCATTTTTTTCACTGCTACTTGTCGATTTGTATTTTTCTCAGTTGCTATACATACTGTTCCAGTACTTCCTTCACCGATTTTAAGAAAATTTTCTAAATTTTCTCTTGGATCGCCTCGACTTACCTGTGATAAATTTTTAAATGAATAAAGTCGAATAATACTTTGAAATATCTTTTTCTTATATATTTTTATAGAATTCATTTATATTATTATTATTTTTATTATCTAATATTATCATAATCATAATTTATTTTTTCTTACCACCATCTGTAAAGCTGCTCGAAATTGTTCATGAGTAAGTCTTTGTTCTGCTGTTTGTTTATTTGTTGTATTAGAACTTGAACTGACTGCTAGATTTCCCGAAGATAAAGCACTCTTCATATTTTGATTTTGATCAGGTATCGAATTGTTTCCAGAAGATGGTAAATTGGATTTTGATAAATTATGCATTGATTGAGATGTTTCAATAGATTTTTTTATATGAGATTGCAAAATAGAAGAATTTTCAGATGTACTGTATGCTTGTGAATATTTATTAACATTATGTGTACTTAATTGGCTTAATGGCCGTTGAGAAGCAATAGAACCTACTGGTGAGATTTTAGGTTGTAATTTATGCAGAAGAGTATTTTGAGTTATTTGTTGATCCTTTGAAGAAGTATCAATATTTGAAGGCTATGTATAAGAAATAATACATATTTTTAAAAATAAATAAAATATATAATATTTAAGTATTACCTGAAATATAATATTTATTATTTACCTGAACATTTCCATTATATTGACCAGATGTTAAAGATATTTGAGTATTTATCCTATGAAATTCAGAATCTATAAGTTGAGGAGTGCTAGGACTTTGTATAGAACATTGTGGAGTATTAATAGGGCTTAAATTTTGAAAATTTAAAGACAAATTCGGTGCATTTGAACCAACATGTGTTAAATTAGGAGATGATTGCATATTTGGATTAAGGTTTTGAAGATTTGGAATCATGTTTTGTGTATTGGAATGTAATCCACTTGTAACATTAGATGCATTTTGTCTCAATTTATCAAGATAATTGTGTTGTTTTCCAAAATTAGTAGTATAACCCTGAATTTGATTAATATTTGATGACATTTCCTGACCTTCTGGCACAGAAGGTGGTAAATTATTATTATGCCTAAAATATAAATATAATAAAATACTTAATATTAAAATAGTAATAAATATAAAATAAATACAAAATAGTAATAAATACAAAAAGGATTACCTATAATCTCTTCTAAGTTTTGGTGGACTTGAAGAACGAAGAGAATTAGATCTAGCAACTGTACTAGTTTTGGGTAATCCATTTTCAGTGTTTTTCTCACCACTGAAAGTTCTTCCTTTTGGATCATTATGGCCTCGAACAATAGTTTTTAAATCTAGAATTTCTGTAGGTGTAATTTCACTTGGATCTACTAAAGGTAATGGTCTATTTGTAGATTTTAAAATTTGATTGTTTCCAACAATAGAAGCCCATTGTAATGGAAGTCCAACGAATTTTCCTTCACGTTTATCAAATCCAGTATGTACACGATGTTCAAAATTTGTTGGAGTAGATATCTGTGGTTTCTTTTTCTTTTTAGCAAACATTTCCTGTCCTATAATAATTGTGTTAATATTAAAAAATATAATTAAAATTATGTAATATATTCTCTATGTTTGTATGTAATATATAGTATATAATATAATATTTAAAAAATGTATTTAATTATATAAATTATATAAATTATATAAACTAAAAATTATTTTGAAAAGCAATAGATTTAAAACTGTCAATTGAGTAAATTATTCTCAAAGAATAATTTTTACATATGCATAGTAACATGGTAATTTTCTAAAATTAATATACAGAAAAAAAAAAATAATGTATTAAATTGTATATGATTTGTTCAATATTTAGAGGAAATAATAAAATCAAAGAGAAGCCAAATGACAGCAACGCCTACTAGTACGTGATATGATTACCTTAAAGTAATTTTTTTGAGTTGTTGGTTAGATTTTTTAAGAATAATTATTTTTTATTAACGTTATACCGCTTTGAAAAATGCTAAATTTTAAATAGTATAGAAACATAAAAAAATTAATTAATTAAAATAGGTAAATACGGCATTTAGCCCTTCGACAGATCGTTTATACACCGGCGCTCCGCGCGGAGAGCTTACGAATCTTTCTTGGCATTTGACTCGTGACAATTTACTCAAATGTATATGAGGTAACACCTGTAATAAAATTATTATAAAAAACAAAATGAATATAAAATTGTGTCGAGAGAAAGCAATTGCAATTATGATTAAAAAAAGAATACATCAATTTATAATTATAATCATTTATAATCATTTTAGTTTACTAAAATGCTAATAAGTATAAATGCTAACTAACATATTACATATGTTATATGCAATATTTTGATATTCGATAGAATGAAAATTTGAAATTATGATATGATGAATTTGATAGAATGAAAATTTGAAATTATTAATATATTATATTTTATTATTAAAATATTTTATATTCATAAAATTTGATTTTAAATAAATAAAAAAATAAAAAAAATAAAAAATAAATATATGTATTTAAATTCCAAGATAAAAATTCCTAAAAAATTTATATTTTTTTTATAAATA